ATACATCACGAGAATCTCTTCCAGATGTTGTGATCAAGGTGTCCCAGTCACACATCCCACGTTCCTTCTGAAATTACTTCCCTACCACCCAACGTGTCAAATTGTGACATGGATAGGATTCTGGAGAGGATCAGCAAGGCTTTCTGCGTTAGGAGGGTTTATCATGTCCAGACCTCCACTGGACTCTCTCAAGTGGATCTGCTGATGGTACATCATGCTGTGTCTCCGCCTAAACCTCACTCCGCAGTCACCACACTGATAGGGCCTTTCTCCCGTGTGGATTCTCAGATGCCGAGTGAGGTGTGACTGCCGTCCAAACCGTTTTCCACATTCGATACAAGGGTAAGGTCTCTCGCCACTTAACAACTGTGTTATTAACAATTGCAGTGATTCACTTAACAAACATGGCAAGAAAGTTCATAAAATGGGGCAAAATCCACTTAACGAATGTCTCGCTTAGCAACAGAAATATTGAGCTCAATTGAGGTTGTAAGTTGAGGACTACCTGTAGAACTTAAAAAAAAATAGTAAAAATAAGAGTAGAATTAAACAGCTATCTGGCTTGTCACTAGAGCAGTTTACCATCATTCATTTTTGACTGGCAGGGCCTGTAGCTCATTGACAAAGGTATCTGCTTCATTTATAGAAACTCTTCAGGCCTCTCCATAAAAATTAAATAGCAAATCTGCAAGCTGGTCTAGACTATATAGACAAGGAGTGGGCAACCAGCTGCCTGCCAAATCTTATGGACTACAGTTCCCACAATTTTTGCCATTGGCCATGCTGCCTAGACTTGAGATCCAAACATCTGAAAATGTCCTTGGACTCACAACACAGTAGGAGATTTTTGGTGGTTCATTATTTTTAATAAAAGTTTGCAGCTCAGCAGCAGAGAACCTGCATTGAATTAAAAAGGTCCCAGGCTCCATATCCAACTTCTCTAAATAAAAGGATCAGACAACAGGAATGAGAAAGTCCTCTGACAGTAACTTTAGAGAGCTGATAAAATAGCCTATATAACCATCTAGCCTGCAGGCCTCTGATACATGGGTATTTGTCTACCATTATGTCAAGGGACATTATTATTATTATGGTTTGTTGCACAGTGAGCCAGAGGTTCAGACTGGATTTGGCATTTTTATATATCAAGTTCTTCTCAAGTACCAGGACATTATTATTCATATCCGATCTTATTATTTTTTAAAATAACTCAAGGTAGTGGACATACCTAATACTCCTTCCTCCTCCCACAGTTACAGTATTTTTCCCACAATAACCAGAGACTGGCCTAAAGTCACCTAGTCATGCCAAGGTGGGACTGGAACTCATGATCTCCTGGTTTCTAGCCTGGTGCCTTAACACTAGACTAAACTCGCCCTCATGCAACCTATCTCAATATCTGCACCCAGTTATACTGCTATTTCAACTCTCAAACATTTCAAGTTCAGAACTTGGCTTCCAATTTTGCTACAATGGAGGCAGAAGCATCCATGAGTCATTTTAAATCCAGGCTCGCGATTAGTACACACTTGTAGGATATGACAAAGTTCTAAAGGGCTAAATAGTTCCAGAAATGTCATTTTAATCTCAATATGAATCAGGTGCTTCAACTGAGAGAAAGTTTCTTCAGATGGGAACTTCTGATTGGTCTCATCTCCCTGTTTAAGAGATGGGGATACTGTGTCCGTAGCAAACCTTCTAACAAAGACAGACAGAAAGCCAGTGAACCTCCACAGGCTGTCTCTCTCAACAGACCCATCAACCTGGCGGATGAAAAGACATGGCGAGTTGTAATTCAGCAGCACTGGGGTGGGGGGTCACAGATTCCACACTGCTAGAAATCTCAGATGGGGCTGAGGATCAACCCAAGGCTATACACACATTTTTATGACAACAGCAATCTGATCCAAGAGTTGTCTCTGCCACTGGTTTGCATCCCTGTAGGAAATCAGGTAACAGCTTGCAAGGAATCAAAACCTCCAGCTCATTCAGCCATTGCCAGAATTTTTCCCCCCTATGCATATTTCTTCCCCATTTTTTGCACAGGGGCTTGACTGTCTGCTGTTACCCCCTGACCTTCCAAGCTCATGGATTAAAAGCAGCAAGACGTGAGGCGAGCATATGGAATCAGCAGGCCACAGTTGGCTAAGGACAGCTGGCATTGCCAATGGATTGCAGTGTGATAGGGCTGCTAAGGAGACAGTGGATTGTATTTCAGACTGCAGATGAGAGATCACACTTTTGGGTGCTCCCCACAATTCTGCAAGTAAAACAAGCCAAGGGAGAAATAAGAAGAATAATCTCAAGTACTAGGTGTAGTTTGGTGTGGTTGTCTAAAGCTTGTAATAGGAGGAAATATTTAAAAATGACATTCACCTTGCTAATTTGGAGTACCCATAAACCTGCTGGAACCTCCTCATACTATTTCTACATACTGGAAATAGTATGAAATATATACTTTATTTTATTGCTCTGTGATGTTTTATGGGCAGTCATTGAGATTTGTATGCTTTGAAAGGTAGTTAGAAGGTAGTATCATTAGTCTTCATGAATAATAATTGTGTAATTACCACCAGCCAGGTGTGAACATCTTTCTTTCCAAAAGCAAAACATTTTGACTCTCTGCCCTAAAGTCCCATTTCATTTACCTCCCACACCTGCTGCAGGTGTCCTGTCACAGGTGTTTGCCTATCCCAAAGTCTTCCCCCCAAATAAATATAGCCCAACAATGAACCTTAAGAATATACGTGAGGAAAGGAAGGGGGACTGAACCATCTTACCTCCTCTTCTGGTCTTTCTGCTTCATTCTGCTTGGCTAGGAACTCCTCAGCTAGGGCCACTGCCCGTGCACAAGTCTCTGGGCTACATTCCCATACCCGACTTCGGATTCCAGGAGGGAGAACGGCTAGGAACTGCTCCAAAATTAGGACATCAAGAATCTGTTCCTTGGTGCGGTTCTTTGGCTTCAGCCAATGGTTGCAAAGCTCCCAGAGCTGACCACATGCCTTTCGTGGACCCTCAGCATCCTGGTAACAGAACTGCCGGAAGCGCCGGCGTGCAGTCTCCAGGCTGAAACTGCCTCCTCCGGATATAGGTGTCCGTGCTTTGCCAATACTCCCTCTATCTGCACTAGCTGGGGAGCGTTGAAGGTCCTGGTGGCTCTCTTCAATGAAAGATGCTTCCCATGAGGATGAAGTATTCCCTAGTTGCTCCAAAGTGGTCGGGAAGGCCTCTGGTTCTACCTCTACTGCAGCAACTTCCACTACCTGAGTGATATTTGAGGTGGCTGCTTCTGGTGATATTAATGGTGGTTCTATAATTTCAGGGAGGAGAGGCTGTGAAGTTTGGGACACTTCTTCCCACTGGACCTCCCAGCGCTGAGGTTGTAGTGCCTCTTCTAGCTGCATTGATTCAGCAGTTGGTGATGCCTCTAAGCCTAGCAGCTCTTCAACTGTTCCAGTACACACCACAAGCAGGGAGTCATCTCCATCAACTGCTCCCACTGACTCTTGCTGAGGGCCTTGTGGATGTGCCTCCTCCTCTTCATCCTCCTCCACATCCCCTTCTCCCTCTTCCTCCTCCTCCTCCTCTTCTTCCTCCTCCTCCTCTCCCCTCTCTTCTTCCTCTTCATCTGCCTCCCCTTCAGCATCTACTTCTACTTCCTCAGGCTCTTCCTCTTCCTCCTCAATTGTGATCTCTGGATACATCTCCTGCTCAAGCAGCACCTTAAAATGGAGATCCAGCTCCCCTGATCCCTGCACGGACTCCATTTTGTCTTCTAAGAGGTAGACAGACTTGTCCCAATTGTAGACCGAGGTCTGGCCAGTGATACCCCAAGTCTCACAGGCAAACATGGTGGGAAGAGTCTTCTTCTTCCTCAAACTTTGACCATAAGCTTAGGCCAAAGTTGGCCAACAATTTCCAGGAAGCAGAGAGACTGTTGTCAAGGAAACTGCTCTGTCACAGGATTCCGCCATACATCAAGAGGATTTGGTTTTTCCAAATGTGTTTACATGAGTACTTTCTCCCTAAAAAGACAAAAAAGTAAGCAATCACCTCAGCAGTCAACAAAATGAAATTAATCATATTTACAGAATTCATCTCCATATAAAGAATGGTATTTCTGAGGAAAAGGTTTTTTTGTAAGGCTTGCTTTGGTTTAGTTTAGGACAGGCATGTCAAACTCGCGACGTCATGTGACGTCGCGCAACGTATTGCGACTTTTTTCCCATTGCCGGCAATGGGGTGGGCGTGGTTTTGGTATGACACATCCCGGGCAGGCAGTTTGACATGCCTGGTTTAGGATGATGGATATGTATCCAGTGGCAGAAACTATTTTAAGAAAAAAAATATCGGGAGACTTCCGGTGGCAGGCGACTTCGTCGGTCGCAGCTGTTTGCTGCCTCCCGCCTGTTTCGCGTAAAAGCCGTTTTGACAGCCAGTACCAGCTGTCAAACGGCCTGATACCTTTCCCCTGGGCATAAGGGGATAGGTGAGCTGCCCGGGGTAGGAGTTGAGTTCCCGAGTCGTCCTATATGGACGATGTAGGTGAG